AGTGTTCTCCAATTTAGACGGTAATCCGTATCACGTACCGTTGTTTCTATCAAGCTACAAATTGATCATGTTGGATTCTTATCTCCATCATCGCCGACACTCGCTTTTATATCTATACATGTAAGATCTCTATAAGCTCTATACATATCAAATGGATAAAATTCGTAAAATTATTTACGTTATCATAAGCGTGCATAAAAAAATGAAATTGAAATAAAAGTCTTCACATTCAACGTTTCGAGATCGCGTAGCACTGCTGTATCAGGTCTAGTCGGGATTCAGGTCAAACGTCATCGTGTGTTGCGGGGAAGAGGTTGGAAAAAAATCCAGAAACGGGCGAGCGTTGGCCTAGCCCGTTATCCAATCGAGCGGAAAACTCATCAGTCACTTCTCACACAACACCTCCGCAGTGTCAGTGACCGTCTAAAAAGCGCGTCCCTCCCCGCCTAATCTCCACTTCCTTTTCTATCGTCTACACACAGTCCTCCTTTCTCCACGTCTTTTTTCCCTTTTATTCTTCACGTTTATATCGGCGTCACGTTCGCGCTATCACGCGATGATAGATATCCGGAATTACATTCGCGTTGTTTTACGGGGATCGTCGATATCTCGTGCAACGGTAAAAAAGATAAAAAATTTTAAAAAATAAATTTCTTATACGTTGGATTTAACATTCATTTGAGATATAATTTAGATTAAGGATGATATTGTCCGGGAGCGTGGAACACCTGAAAGACACCTTGCAGTTATGTTGAATGTTTTGTTTGTATTTTGTGACTGTCGGCAGGAGCGCTGCATCTTTTCCGTAAGCCAGTAAACGTAGAAAGAGACGGTATAAAGACATTCACCACGTAACGGATCCGGTCTACCGAAAAGCGTGACCCTTGAAAATAATTTGAATAATTACCAGCAAGTTTTTCATCGAGGATGCTAAACAGCTGTAATCTGCCGTCTTCCTCGGTCCTTTCTCGGAACGAAAGACAATGCGAAGTGCCCTTAATTTACTTAAAAGACCTTCAGAAAGCTGTTTTTTTTTGCCGCGCCCGTTGATAACGTTCAGCTTAGGTTCCCTTCGTTTTCATAATTGTACTAAATATGAAGTAATTTTGATTTTATATTGCAGTCAAATTTTCATGTATATTTCATAAACAGATGAACGAAAACAAGTTTTAGAACTCGCGTGATTACACCATAATAAATAACAAAAACAGTTGTTTAGAGTTTGTTGCAGATATATTTCGGATAATTTATAAGTATTAACGATATCTCTCGTCATATTGGGACAATTCTTAGCGGGACGTCCCGAGGTTCAAATATTAACAGACGCGTTGCTTGGAATCTCGTGAAGCACGTACGGTTTCTATTAAAGACAAGATACCCCCTTTTCGCAAAACACGCGAGTGCCAGTGGGGATGACTCGAGGCAAGCCCCCGGTAATAATTCCTCCGCCGAATTAGCGCCATAAGTTTGGGTGCCGCGACAGCCACGGAGACAATATTAATCTACTTTGAATTTATGCACTCCGCGGTTTTCCACCGACCTAGCTTGTATTAAGTCTCTTCCCGTAGCTTTTTCCCGTTTTTCCACGAAAACCTCCTATGACATGAAAGTTTTTTTTTTTTTCGAAAACGAACGAGCTGAGATGTTGGTCGCAAAAGGTTTTCTTGATCTCCCTGTTGCTCGGTCGCAAATATACATCTGCAATGGCTTTTGCAAATAAACATATCTCGATCTTTGTACATATTTTAACACGAATCTCAGAGTTTTTATTTTTTTTCTGTCTTGATTGTAGAAATTTAGAAATGTACATGTAATGCGTTTTCTCCGTACTGTCTGCATTGAGAAAAAATTCGATTTTAATGAAAATGCGAGATGAATTAACTTTTCTCAGTTAAAAATTGAAGGAAGCTAGATGCGCTGAGAGAATTGCCGTTATGTCGGTTTATTAACTCTGTGGCTCGTACTATTAAGACGTGGTTGAGCAGGCGGAGGAGAAAGAGGAGGTAAGATTCACCCTCACCGCGTAGACAGATAAATAACTCAGGACAGCCTGGGAATAACTTAAGACTTCTACTCTAATGATATTTGAGTAAATCCAAAAGATACTCACTCTCTCGTGGTGAGAACGCTTGATATTCTATGTGTGCCTTTATATTTAAAGCGTATGTGTTTAATCATATACATCTTCACAAAATTAGGTATAGTAATTTGGAAAAGAGAGAAAGAAAATATGTGATATTTTTCTGAAACGAACCAAACTATATACGTTAATTTGAAATACAAATCTCGTAAATTACCTATAATGTTGATTAACGAACTATCCTTTCAATGAAACAAGATGCGTTTGTTTTTATCATAACTGTTAATCATTTAGCATGATTATAAGACAGCTTTATGCTTCTTTTTTATTATCAAGATACGTGTATTTGCATAATTTCTCCGCGCCCATACCATTCCGCGGATCTTTTCTTTTCGATCGCAAACATCCCGAACAAAAAACCCGCGTGCATTCGCTCTCCAAAGCGACGCTAGAAACACGTAAAGCATGCGATAGCCCCGGTATCTCGATCTTCGCGAGGGAAAAAGCGCGCATTGCAGCGCCGTACCTTAAACCGTGCATTAACCTGGAAATAAACGGGGTGCCGTTCGACGTAGCACATACATTATGCGCGCCGAACTGCGCCGCGTTCCAGCATTTTAGCCGCATCTCCTCGCGAGCGCGCACCGTCAGCAGCTCGCGTCCGGGGCATTTTTCTCGGCGAGTCCCGGCCGGTGGAAAAAAAAAGTTTTATGTTAAAGCCGAAGACCGCGGGACCCGGGCTCGCTGCCGGGGATTAAGACATTCTCGGGCTAATAATTTTCATGCCCGGCCATGAAATGTTTTGTCCGCGTCCGCCCTGCCTTTCTTCCGCGCGTTTCGCGGCTGGCAGACAGCCGCGGGCGCGCGAACCGTGCCACGTCGGGCCGCGAAAATCGTCGCCGGCACCGGGCGACGATTAGACGATCCTCCTGCGCTCGTCGACGAGCGATCGCGACGATTTTCGTACGGATCCGCGGCATTTTCTGCGGACAATAGGTGTCAGTCGGGGAGAACGTAGTGCCCGAAGGTGCACGGTTCGAGCCCCGAGTCTACAATTATGAGCCATACCACGTCGGAGCGAGGCCTCATAACGAACTCACTATATTGCCGAGCATTTCAAAACTGGCCTTATACCCGTGTAGAGAGAACGCTCTTTACCTGGTTTCTCCCTTCCTTTCGTCCTCCTCTTTACGCGTTCTCCAGCGTGGCCGAAGACGAGGGACGAAGGGGGGAAAACGCGCGCCAGGGAATAGAAGGCCCAAGAATAACGTTTGGCGATGAAAGAAAGGAACTTCGGAGAATCCGTACCACGGAGACTATGCACTCCCGTTGCCAGCGGCCTCGATTGGAAGCGTCGACGATGACGTTGGAGTAGACGTATAGCTTTACAACGCCGCGCGATCGCTACGATCGAAAATTATTGGCGAAGAGGTTTTCGATGCGCATCTCTGTTAATTGAGAAAGTCAATTTTTCGGATAGGTTTTGAGAGATTTTAGAATTTTTTATTAGAATTAATATTTGCCATATAATTTGATATTTTAATAATATAGTTTTTATTATTAGATTCACGTACGCACGCGTATTTATTTTTTATATCTTTTAGTTTGATTTAGCGCTAAGAGTCGATTCACTTCAAGTATTTTTCAGGTATCGATGGGCTATAAGGCACATATATGTATACAGAAAAGTTTTACATATATCCTACAATTTTACGTCACGATTGTACTTACCCCTAATCGGCCTTGCTTTATTTTCGTAACCGCGTTGTATATTTCACGTTGTCTTTGACTATCCGCTCCGGCCGCCGCGATGATCTCTCGTCGTGGCGAATCTCTGGGATCATATACTTGAAAATAAATCACATTGCACAGAGGATGCTGCGGCCGGCAGGAAACATCGACCAGATGTGAGTCCGCTATACCGACGTCGCGCGTGACACGTGTGTCCAAGTCATCGGAGAGAGAGAGATGACACCCGCTATATTTAGTTCTATGGGAAAAAGGGTTTCGGAGGCGTGTAATCACACCTACGCGGGTGCCGCTCACTCGCATTCTCATGCCGACTTTTTAAACAATTAGAAATTCTTTTTTTCTTCCTTAATGTGATGTATCGCTTTTTTTTTAACAAACTTACAACTTTTTAACGGTGGTTTTTATTATGAGAATTGGTCTCGTCAAATAAGGATATCAAATTTAAGCTAACTAATTAATTTAAGTTATGTCAAATGAAGTCGATCTAATTAATTATTGATCTTGTATCTTGTGTTGATCTTACATACTATTATATCGATGTGTACATCCACGTACCTAATTTATGAAAATTTATTTGTTAATTTATTTTTTAACACGCTTAAAGATTAGATGAGCGACGTACGGTTTATTTTACTCCCGCGTCTTTTTACACTTCGTTATACGTATAGTTTTTCAATAATGTTAACATTATTTTATGTTATAGTGCAGTAATATCAACCGTATGTATCGTAATAGTTTACACGTTTACACGAAATGTAGTCATGTAATTATATATAGAGGGGCGCGTAGATTGGTGGATCACATGTGCTTCGAGAAGACGCGTGGGAAGACGCTGTTATAGCCGTTGGCAGCTGTTCACACGTGTAGCCGATGCTCAAATTTAATACGGATCATTCTGCTTCCTCCAAAGCCAATGCTCCAAATAAAATAATATAAAAAATTTTTGTTGTATTATATTGCTTTGGTTAAAAGAGTCGAATTATTATTCATCACGAGTTATGAGTACGTGTATTATGTACAACATTTATTGCATATCTAAGAACGTACATACATCGCTTCTGCATTTTGAAACTGATTGGCAACTAATAGTTTGTAATAAAAATAAAAGCTTTTGTTCTTATATATACAACTGTTGTTAATAACGTATCGTGAACATCTATGATTTCAGATTGACGCCCCGTTAGAAAATGAGACCGACGTCGAGTCCGATGCGCATAATTTCGATTCTTTATCGCCGGAGAAGGGCTTCAAGGGTGAGTGAGAACAAATTTGGAATCTACTTTTCTCTTCTTCTTCCTTTCGATAGGTATTTTAGAGATATAGAGCACATGCATGTATGTTATACAATGTGTGCACATATATGTGTAGTATATCGCAAAATGTGTGAATCAGGTTTCAAGACCAGATATGTTACGTTGCATTATATTAGTTTGCAATTATGATTACTCGTTGCTCACGCTTGAGACTCGATGTGCGCGCAATTATGCGACTCGGGAGCGTGGGATAGTTACGTTAACGATATGCAAGCGCGCGTATCATTTATAATACGATACTATATAATTTCGCGAAAGAGCGGAGATTTCTCTCGCGTAGCCGAAGATCGGAGGCGACGAGGATCCTCTGGCGGGAGGCTGAAATTAAGGCATTCGTCGTAGAAACACATACACCGTGTATATATATATACGAACGAAGCCAATCCACTTAAGGCGCCGCATCCCTCCGTCATTCCCCCTCCCTCTCTCCCTTTTACTCGCGCCAGGGGTGGTCGGTAAGGTTTTGTTCTCGAACAAAAATCTGACAAATATGCCGCGATTTGCCGAAGAATGGAGGCGAAGTGCACCACCCTCGCCCCGTTCCCGTCCCCCCTCCTGTCGTAGTAACTTCCACCAGGGTCCAAGCATCCTAACCCACCCTTCACCCTTTCCCCTTTCTTATTCTCCCGTTCTCTCTTAGATTTCCGTCTTCTCTTCCCGATCCCTCGTCGTCGCTCGGCCCTCCTCTCGAGAGACAGAAAGAGAGAGAGAGCGGGGGAGGGCAAACGGTGACTCTTAAATTACTTAGACCGAACAAAATGTAACAAATGACTGCGAATCGAGCCACTTATGCGATATTGGCCCATCACCACCATCCACGTATATTGATACGTCGCATTAGGGCTAGCCGACACCCTTCGCCATGCCGACTGACTATCTCTCGGTTTCCTGTATTCCGTTTCCGAGGGAAAAGAGCCTTCGTCAGAGGCTTCATTCGCTCTGCAAACAGGCCATCTTCGATCCGACCTGTTTCGGTAACAAACAAATCTTATTTTCGCTAATTCTTTCTCTTTCTGACTCTCTCGGTCTCATGATTTTCCGATCGTGTTGGAACAAGACGAACGATGCAGTCGATCTTCAAAAAAATAATGGAGGTATAAAGCAGCCGCCATTCCGGAGAGTTTCTCACGAAAGATCTGCGGTTTCGGGCCCTCGCCGAATATCGGCTTCCTCTTTTCCTGCCCGCGCGCGCGCGCGCGTTCCTCGCCGAGTCCTTTCGTTATTAATGGTTTTCGCGAACTAGGTTCATTAAGGAGCTCACGAAACTCGACGGCGGCGCATTCATGAGAGCGTGCCACCCCTTCCAGTTCTCACGGGATGAGGGGTGGATGTCGGATACGTGCGAAGTGTCGAACGGGATGCTCGTGTAAATTAGTAGTATATATTATCCTCACGCTCTTTTCTTTCGTTTTTCGAATATTTCTTACCGCTGCCATTTTTTGCGGTCAATGTAATATTAAACACGCGTTACGACATATATTTTTGTTTCGCAAAACTTTCACATTGTTATCTTTCACATCTCGAAAAACGAAAAACAATTGTATGAATATATTACATAATATGTATAACGTTATTGAACGTGACTGATGTTTTATTTTTTAATATTAACATTTATTTAAAAATTAACATTCTAAGCAATAAGTATTTTATACTTCATTCACATTACGGCAATGTTTTAATTATTATGATATTTGGTTAGATTTAATAATAAGCAAAGCTTAATTATTAAATAATAAAATCTTTTTTGCGACGAACGGAAACTGTTATTCCGCGCGACGAAGGAGATACGCCAGAATCGCCGGCATGTAAACGGATATTGAGGGAAAAACGGCGCGATAGTTTGATGAATGAAGTCGTAATGAAGACATTAACGCGTCCGTTGCTCGCGCTAACGCAAGGCAGAAGAAAAGGGCGACGCACCTGTCACCAATGCGCTCAATTACGCGCACTCGACCTCGAGGCGCGGATTATATGCGCCGAATTGTGTAAAAAAAAGAAGAAGGCATCGCCTTTCTCGACTTTTTTCTCCGGCTCTCTCATCATCTCCCCGCTATACCTCCGGCACAGGCTGGAATTATGCTAGAACACGAGGTAATGCAATAATAAGTATAAGTTAGCCCAGAAACCGGAGTCCCGCGAGAAGGAACGAAGGAGACCGGCCAACGAGCGAGAAAGAGAAAAAGAAAGTCATAGAACGGGAGAGAGAAAAAGAGAGAAAGACAACATTTTCAGTACCTGCTAATTTATATCATTTAAGATGAGCCCTGAGCATATATCCACACCGTGCCATTTGAAAAGAGAGAGCAATCATATTTTTACCGGTACAAGAGTCGGATTTGTTTACGCTCGCAGCGCGATAATTTTTCGATAATTTGCCCTCGTAATATCGAATAACACAGACATTCGTATGTGCTTTAAGGCCCTTGCACAATGCCAGGCAACAGGCAATAGGAACAGGGAATAGAAATCAGAAATCGTGTATATATAAATGAGGAATAAACAGTGACACAGGCAATAGATCCGTCATGTTGTGCAAGGGTCTTTATTGTCTCGATTTTCGGTTTTATTGGTACACACGTGAATGCGTCACGATAGCTGACAGAGCGCTCAGAATCGTCCGCGGAAATCCATCTCGCCCGTGGACCCGGCGCATAAACGCGTCGACCGCTCGCGCGTAGAGCGACTTGGAGGCCATCGCCGCTCTTTTTTGCTATTAGCTAAGTATACCGCCTCTGGCTTATGTTAAGCCTCGGTAATTATTTGTCACAGTCAGCTACGACGAGAGACAGACAGAAGAAGATGTGACGAGGCAAGAGGGGAGGACGAAGGGGAGACTTTCTCTCTCGGTTCTTCAGCGCGATAGGAAAGAGTCTCATTGATCGCAGTACAATTAATTATCTCCTTCTACATCTCTACGTTTTTTTTCTCTTCTTTGTTTTCAAATATATTCTTTTTACGTATCGAGAAAGAGACATCATTGATTAATTGAACTCTCTTAATTGAGATATCTTATGAATGAATTCGCTGAGTGTGTTGAAAATTCGTTAAATTATAATAAATAGATATCGATTTGTATTTCTTTTTTAATTTAAATTATATACATCTTATAAATATATAAATGTATTAAAAATATATTTTTATTAATTTATAACACGTTCTTCGAAGCAAACCATTTAATTTCGAGTAATATGGTCATGCAATATAATTTGCTGTTGATTGTCGATTTAATTTTTGTATTACTTAAATGTGCTTGAACATATAGCTTTCGTGATATTCCTCGATTTCATGCAGCTTTAATCTCTTTTCCTGCAGCACATTTGCCCCCTTCGCCCCATCATTTTCGGCGCCGTTCTCATCCTTAATGTGATTTTAAGCAGCGCCACGAGCAACACCATCGACTAGAGGATATCTGTGGCTACTTGCGAATTGTTTCTTTCACTTGTGTCCGTCCTTCTAGCGTCGCGTGCTTTATCTCTACGGAAAAACGTGAATAAGGCAATTGTGAAACAGTTAAAAACGTTAATTCCATCTTTCAGCGACTATTTACGCCAACATTTAATCTTTATATGGCTTTTTTATACAAGTGTTATTATTTTATTACGTTTGAAGTACTTTGTGTATACTTTCTTTTATTTGACTTTATTTGGCGCATTTCTTCACGAGAAAATATTTTATTATTTCTCTTGTTGTCGTTTCTAATCCGAATATTTTGCGGACTATGAATATCAGCAGAATTTTTCTGGTTGTTTTTCTTGTAATTTACATCACTGTCTTTGTACATTCAATTGTTAAATACTCATACTTTTCGGAGAGGAGATGATTTAATTTATTTATCACCGGATCGCTGAAGATGGCTCAAAATATAGCCGAAACGTACGATTTATAATTTGTATTAAATTATTAATTGAATATTACATAACGTAAACTTACGCACAAATAACGTTTAACTCTCATAGCCTGTTTTTCTTTTTCACTCGTTACTTTTAATATTAAGAGTATTTAGTTAATAATATCTTATTATTTCATTATATTTTTGCTTCTGTATTCTAAATTAGGAATTGGAAATACATAATTTCTGCTGGTAAGCACATCGCAGTTTCGCTACGAGCCCATAATCCGTACACGTCAACTGAAACGGCCTTATACGTTTCCGCATTACTCTAGGAAATCATTCTGTGGATAGATAAGAAAGAAGAACGGACGAAAGGGTAGACTCCATTCTCCGCATAGCGTGCGGAAAAATGTTTCACGAGAGTCAGTCATGCGTAAGGCGTTTCGTCCTACACAGTTCGTCAGTCCGACGTGTATAGACGAGAGACGAACACGTCTACAAGTCATACATACGATCGTTTATATACAAATCTTGATGGGATCCACCCTCTATGAAACAACGGAGCGAGCTTTGATCGACTCGCTTGGCTTATTTTCTATAAAGAAAATTCCCTTCGGACTAGAAGAAAGTTTGCGCGGGGGGAATAGAAATAAAGAAAGAGGAAAGATAGAGGAGACGGGCGGAACGCAAAAAGCGACAAGCAATTTGGTCTCCTGTACGGAAAAAATGTGACGTTTAATATATGAAGTTAATAGAGACGAAAATTTTATAGAGAACGAGGATGTATGTCGGAGATATCGAGCTAATGTTTATTTCGTGCATGCTATATTAATGCTTAACGTTATTATTCCTACATGTCTCAGTGAGAATCTTTTAATTTCTTGATATGTACGACCACTTTGTAATGGGAATGTAAATGGAAATAAGTACTGCTTGTTTGTTGTTAACGCTTACAATACGTTTATTAATAACGTTTATTAACTGTACTAATTTTCAGAAGGAAGAGGTGTTGAAAGATGTTTTTTGTATCTATTAATTTATTGCTAATAATGAGGAATTGTTAAGATGCTTAATAGCAAGAAGCCGATTAGGTGAGCTATTAATAGCAGTTTCAGCATGTGAGAGATAGCATTTCAGCCTTGGCAAGATTGAGTAGGAAGCAACGCGCGGGTCGACGTGTCGCTGTAGTGTTTAGAACCCACACGTTGATATAGGCTAGCATTCAGATGTCTGACGACCGAAAACTATCCTATTTATTATTCTGTGTCGTGTATTCACGCGCGTGTCGGTCGTTATTCGCCTCTTAAGGTTTCTATGTGATTTTTGTTTCAGGAACGGAACTGGTGCCGAGCTGATCTGTATGAACATAATGTAGCAAATTTCCTTTAACGTTTAATAATAGCCGATTTAATGCAAGATATTTTTATACACAATCTATACATTAATGTATATACATATATCTCTCATACATACATATTAAATATATAAATATTTGATCCTTATATACACGCATCCGTTACCGACAAGTTGTGGAAAAGAGTATTCTATGCTGTTGTGTCTTTACAACTTACTGCTGTATGATCTATTTGTTAAGAAAAGTAGTAACGATCAGATTTGTAAGGGAAAGATACTGAAGGTAGTGGAGACAAAGATCGTAAAAGGCTTGTTGATTTATACATTAGTACAATAACTTTGTAATTCATTAAATTTCTGTGCGATTGAAGAAATAAAGTAGAAACGTGGACATGCTTCCTCTTTCCTCGATTTATATATGTTTGTTTATGATCGAAATTGTCCATGTATCCATCCCGAATGTACATTAACGCGAAAATTTTAATGATAGTTTTATATAGATCATGTATTTAATTCGTTTGTATAAATATATGGCTTGATAATACGATTGAAATATTTATTGCTACTGTGTTCGATTCCATGGTTTTTGCACATTGTCTATATGTATTTATTTTATTTTATTTTATTTTATTTAAGCACATCCACAGCACGATACGCATTTCACTAAATAGCGACTTTGCTGCGTGAAGGCAGGCGAGAAACCGTATTACATATAATCAATATATTTACATATTATAGTTAATAAAGAAAAACAAGATCTTTATTTTATATATGTTCTACGATTTCGTTTAACGTGCGCAGTAGAATTTTATATTTAAAAAACTGAAGTGTATAATTTTTCAGTGATCGATCAAATACTGAAGTTCGGAGCATATGAATTCACACGTAAATAAAATGAATGAGAATTTACAGAAAAGATAAAGTATATGAAAAGTCTAATGCACACACTTCTAATAATGTAGCAGGCAATAATAGCAGCCTATTATAGATTAAGCGGGCTTTCAGAATTCTCAAGGAATTTTTCTAAAAGTCTGCGATAGCTACGGCGTGCAAGCAAGAAGAAGAGAAGATACAGGGTACGTATGTATGTCTGTGTGTGTGTGTGTGTATATACGTGCGTTGGTCGCGCGTTAATTAGTTTGCAAGGAGTTTAAAGGCAAGCCTGGAAGGACTTCGTCAGGCTGCTAGGTGGTCCCGAAGCCTCGAGTCATCATTGCCTCATTTACTTCGTAAAACAATCTTGCCGGCAGTTCAATGGGCCTAACTATATCAAACTTGGCACCGCGTAATTAAACTTCGTTGTAAACCGGTCGAAAGGCAACGGGGTTTACGTGGCTAGTCGAATTTTGGTATTTGATATGGGATAATTAACGAATGGTCTACGATTTCAAAGCGTGAATTTAATTTATCGTACATTACTTTACACTTTATGTTTTCTAAAAAAAAAATGTAACATATTCAGGACAATTTCTGAACGTTGAAACACAATCAACTGCTATTGTAATAAAATTTGAAAAATAAACTTAATAATGAAAATAAACTAATGATAAAAAAATAATAAAATTGAAATATTCTATGATAAAGAAGATAATTTTGCAAATATATTTATATTTTGTGGTAAACGTGTCGGTAGACTGAAAAGGAACGAAACGTGAATAGCGTTATTTCTGCAACGAGGCAAAATTGATGCGAAATGCAAAAAGGACGCGCGAGATTGTCTTTTGAGAAATCGCTCCGGATTATTAGGGTACGACCAGATTTTCAACGTCGAGGGTTAAGCTGCCGTTTTTACTGATTTTCTTTCTAATCCTTACAAATGTCAGGGTCATCAAGTTTTTTTCCCTAATTCGTACTGCGAACCGACCCGCATGCGAGCGTTAATCTTGACAGAACGGATCGCGGTTTTGTTTAGGGAATGCTTGTTAAACATTGCCGTATTATTAACAAGGTGCGATACGGTGCAGCCGTCATGTTGTTCGTTAATCCCGTTAAAGCGCGCAGCAAACGAAGCGCACGATATACCTATATCTGTATAAATTACGTAGATTCTGAAATTATTTTTTTCTCGCTGCGTCGCGTATCTTTCCGGGGTTCTCGATCGACTTTCTAGCTCTAAGAGAGAATCAGATCGGTCCTCGCGGAGAGGCACTATAGAGCTGCCATTCACTCTCGACCTCGGCGAGCTTCTTTCTGCGAAGCTGAGGGTCGCCCGAATTCACAGCGGCATCGCGGCAGTGCGGCCTGCGACCGCCACACGATTTCGGAGTCTGCGCGAAACTTGCAACGATACACACGAGTGTCACTAATCTCTTTCTCGAGGACAAAACTATCTCCGTGGTGTAGACAATGGGGGGAATCGCTGACGAGTCAAGCGCAAACCCTTGAAATGACAAATGACAGGATGTATCCTAAATACACCGTTGCCGGGGTGTCCTATTTTCTTCGCTTCTCTTCGACTTCGTGTATTTCTCTCGGATCTGGTTAACGCGGCAGTTCAGTCGCAGCATTTTAACGATAAATATTAGCAACGCGTTAATTCGAACACACATAAAGCGTGTTGAATCAATACGCGAAATACTATTTTACACATATTCTACGATGCAACACACGTTGATAATAACACACGAGCGAAAATAACACGGAAAAAAGCAACGCAGTTTAAGCGCAGTATCAGATCATCCAATATATGGCATCCGATGAGATCCGTTTCTCAAATTTAAGATATGACGAACGATGGTATAAGAATGATGACGGAACTACACATTGCACAACTTGTATCCAAGTTGTTTCGTGGCGTCCACTTTTATAATAAAGCGTGGCAACATTTTTGGATTAATGTGACGTTAATGTAACTTTATTTTAATTATAACATTACGCCGAAAAAACTGGACACAAGTTGTGCAATGATAATTTGTATCCAAGTTGTTTCGTGGCAATGTGCAGTTCCGTCATCATTCTTATAACATCGTTCGTCATATTTTAAATTTGAGAAACGGATCTCATCGGATGCCATCTATCAGATGATCTGTTACCAGCTTATGTGCGTTGTAGAACGAATAAGTGTGTTATAGTATCAACACAGCAGTACACGCTCAGTACACGTGACAAAGTCAGTATTATGTTTTATTTCCACACACGTTAAACGCACGTCGAACACACTTATTTTTTGTAGTGTAATAATATCTTTATTTTTGAAGACGGCACACTACAAACACAAGTGTGTTACTTTTACACATTTTAAGCGCATTATTCATTGTAGACTTCTTACACGTTTTATCGTGTGTAAATTAAAAACACACCTGAAGTGAATTTGTATTGATAAAGTGTGTAAAAAGTTTCTACAATGAATAACGCACTTAAAATGTGTAAAAATGACACATTTGTTTTTGTAGTGTATTGTTCTCAATAGGCGTATATATTCAACAATTATTTATTTCTAGTTTGCTAGATTTATGATGCTGAATCTCGTAGTAAAAATGTGATTTTTAATAAATTAGTTAATAGATTTTACGGGTTTAAACTTCGCAGATAGCAATTTGCACGTAAAACGGCAATAGAAAATAATTTAGATAATTTTATTTCTATTGTATTATCAAAGAAGTTGATTCTTTCAAGAAGAGAGTTACATGTAATTAAAAAAAAAACTGATATATTTATGCACACGTATCTCGACAGCTCATCGTTGTATCGTTGTTATGAGTCGGTATTATACGATTACATAAATACTAAAAACAGCTGTATATGGTAATGGAAAACTACTCGCCTCCTTATCCTCCTATCGTGCGCCTTCGTTTCAAGAAATTACCTTGGAGCGAGGTGGAGTCCGCGGAACTAACGCGATAGAAAAAAGTACGAGAACAATAATGAGGCTCCTTTAAACGTACGCGAGCCTTTTGAAGTGTGGCAAACGGTACTGACTGCGAGAAATAGAAACGTGTTAGCGAGAGGCCGTAATTAAGCCGGGGCCCTCAGCGGCATCGTCGCTATTCCTCCTCTCCTTCCGCACGAGTATACGCGATACCTGCCTTTTCATAGACACATCGCGCGTTCTAATCTATCCCGAGACGCGCCGGCATAATTAATTTATTCGCGTTTGCGGTTCGTTAATTGAATAACCTTGGGCCCTTGCTCCGGATGGTTAATGAGCGCGGAGCCGCGGTAGCCACGGGTATCTCATTAAGCGGATCGCGAGGCGCCCGGAACCCCGGAAATCCGTGCCCTCTAGCGTATCACGTACCCCGGTTCCTCCAGAACGAAAATCAACGCCGAACGAAGGATTTGAGAGCGAGAAAGTCTCAAATTCTTAAGACTCAGCTAGAAATACCGTACGTAGAAAAAAAAGAACCGTCAAGTTAAAAGTTATTTTTCAACTTTTTTTCTTGATTGAACTACATGAAACTGCGTTTACCTAAATAAATGACCGTTCAAGCAAGTTTTCCTCGTTTAACGGAATATAATCTCACTTTAAGATTATAAATTGTTGTATATACATACAAGTGTATAAGTGTTGATTTGACACTTTTTTTTTCTGTGTAAGTTCTCACAAATCGCGGACTTATTCCGTTCTTGTTTGTTCTTAACCCTAGCTCGTCACACTCCGGTCCAGTGGACCGCTGAACGTTTTTCCGTTTTCTAGTTTTCACATAATTTTCTAGTTTCCTTATAATAAGTTCAGTTTAAATTCAAATCATTTTCTTGACCTGATATTATCATCTGAATAAACATTTTATTCAGAGTCTGCATTTCCAATTTCTACACAGTACAAGCTTAAAAATATTAATTAGAATGAAAATGACAATGCGACAAAGTCGAGCGGTCTCACGGACCGGAGTGTGGCGAATTAAGGACTCGAAAATAAGTGTGGGTAGCCAGGACTAGCTTAAACATCGACGTTACGTAAGATCGAAACATTTTTTTCTTTCTCGCCGCGATGCCATTTCTATTTTCTCCCTGCTGTCGAAGTACCTCCTTTACGTTTCACTCGCTTCTCGCTTCAAGACGGAGGAACGTATTCGTTCCCGGGACACTCCTCGCGGTCACAGCACGCGTGCACCTACAGTCAACGCGCAATTTCCTTCCTCCCGCGGGCCGCCGTCCTTCTCGTCGTTACTCCTTGTTCGGGATTCTCGCGGGCATCGATGCACGGGATCGATTAATTCCCTAACCGAGTCCATATTCATCGCCTCGATCGCTTTAAACTTCTCTCTCTCTCTCTTCCTCTTTTTTTTCTTTATTTTCTTTTTTATTTTTTCCTACGCGCGTTGGGCCTCCTCCTTAACTCGGATCGCAGCAAGATGGCCGCGGGCTCCGGTAAATAAGCGACTGTCATCTGACGCCCGCAAAAAGCGGATACACCGCGGCAGACTGGTCTCCGTGCTCCCGTCTTCGTCCTGCCCTCTCACCCTCGCTCTCCGATCTCTCCCTTTTCCCTCTTCGTCTGTCCTCTCGCTCTCTGCCCTGCCACCTCCCTCCTTCCCTCTCTTTCTCTCGCTCTCTCTCTCTCTCTTTCTCTTCCTTCCTTACTTTTATTTACCCGTTCGTTTA